TACTTTGTGTTCTTTTCAGCACCAGGTAAAGATCTTCATATTCTTCCAGCATTTTATTCTATATTTCTCTTCAGCCTCTATGCTAATTCAACTGCAATTGCTATTGTGCTTTGTTGTTTAAAATTGATTTTATTTTGTATGTGTGCTTCTGTATGTGTTTTAAATTTTTCTTAACTTCCGTTAACCACCCAAAGAGCTTTGGCTATTGAGTGGTATAAAAATGAAATGAATTAACATTGCAAAATTTGCCATGTGAGCTCAAGCTGCTCTGAATTTATTGATTTAACCTTCTATTATGTGCTGATATTTTATTTTGTAATATTTCTTTTTTTTTTCACTCTGGCAAGCCATCCTAAGGATGCCAATTGGCCATTAAAGCAGAGGGTATAAATCTATCAAAAATAATCCTTCTGGTTCTCTCAATTCATTGCCACACACATTTTCTATAATATTGATGTATTCCACTTACATAAGCCTATCTGCCTCTTCTCCCAAACCATCTTGCCACAGTGACAAGAGAACTAACGCTAGAAAACTGCGACAGCAGGAAACTTAAGAAATTGTTTTTTGAAAACCTGCAATATTTCACCTGAGAAAAATACCCAAATGCCTCTTCTTCCAAAAAACAGTGTAGAAAAATAATATAGATTCTCTGCTTTAGGGAGCCAACAACAGCACTGTTTGAAGCCTTAGCAGGGAAGAAAACCTTGCAAACAACCTCCACATTTGAGCAAAAGCTCTACTGCAAGAGAACTATTAAACAGGAAAAAATGTTGTACCAAAATTGACAGTAAGCTCCCAGGGGGAAAACAACCTACCTTCCTTTGCATAAGAAAGTCTAATAATATGCTATGTAAATATAATGACTGCAACAGTAATAACGATCAAATTGGGAGATTGGATTACTGCACAATGGAGGAACTAGAATCTTAAAACCACGTGGTAACTTAACTTCAAAAAAGTCCACCTCTTTCATTTCCCCAGGAAATTTTTCTGATATCCCCTACCAGTTAGAGATAAATGGTATTACCAGAAGATATAAAGGGCCACTTCATCAAGGGCCTTCCAAAGTTAATTCATTCCTTGCCTAAAATAATTCCTCAGATCAAAATATAATCAATCACAAAAAATCTAGGGAAATCGTTCTGAAAGAATATTCAACATTTCTCCTAAATGATCATCTGTTATGTCCCATGCTTCAAATCAGGGCATAACATCATTAAAACCATCACCAGTCTGACATTATTTTTCTTTAAAAACACAATGAATGAATCTCTTAATCAAACTGTTTCACGATAAACCCATCTTATCACAGTCTTATGGCAGGAGGGTATGATATTTATTTCCAAACTCGTTAGAACTGTTATATCCTGAAGAAAAAACGGAACTAAGACATCTGGTACTATCACAAATGAGAATGGGGTTGCGTGTGTTTCCAGTCGAATATAAAAAGCAGCTGCAAACCTAGGCGAGCTGTCTTGAGCGCAGGTCCCACAGAGTTACTACCGAATAACCATGCACGGGGGTCTATGCAAGGGTTTCTCTGCTACGTCGCTTGATTTTAGGCATTATTATTTATCTAACGGCCTCGAGTACCTTTTCAGGCTGCACAGTTTTTATCAAGCCGACAAACGAAGCCGTCCGGGCGCAGGACCGCGGCTCAAATGGGGAAAGCAGGGAAGAGCTGGAAAAGCCCCGGGGGCATCCCTCCCGCCCTCCCCGCAGCTTTGGGGGGCGGGAGGGGATCCCAGAAGGCGAGGCTCTAAAAGTCGCGAGGGGCTTCCCTCCCTGACCCACGTCGGGGTGTTATAAAACGAGGAACGAAAACAGGCGGCAGCCGCATGCCCACAGCGGGCAGGGAACGATGAGGCACTATTGTGAGGACCGCCCGTGCCATGGCTTGCCCCCAGAGCCGGAGCTGCCTGGGCCGGTCACAATTTCGCCGCACCACGCGCGTGCACACACGCACAGACGAATATTTACAAACACACGCGCGCAACACACACACGGACGAAGCACAAAGAGCTGCCGGGTGGGGCGCGGCGTGGCGCGGCGCGGCGCGCTACTCACGGGCGCCGCCGGCTCGGTGCGCTCCCGGCTCCGGCCCGATGTAGCTGAGCAGGACGGGCAGCGGCACGCCGCACGGGCCCGGCGGGGCGGCTCTCCAGGCGCTCTGGGGCTGCGCGCCGGGGGCGGCGGCGCCCGCGCGGCCCGGATACAGCAGGAAGAACGGCGGCGACTCCGGGGGCGCCTCCTCGCCGTCGCCCTCGCCCTCGCGCGCCGCTTCGCCGCCGGCCTCGCCGCC